CTCTGTTGCATTCTTCCTCAACTCATTCAAATTTTGCAATGGTACTTTTGCTATGTAGCATCTTCATTTGTGAAGAGACCCTCTAAAGTTTTTTTCCCAGGCGTTCTTAGAGTCAATTGTAAACAGTTTGAGGAAGAAAAAAACCTGAAAACCATAATAAAAATAAAGAAAAGTGCAGAAATGTATCAGGGATATTAATAAAGCTCTGGGAGATTCTGAAAATATATTGGGATTTGGTCATTTTATAAGGTTGAAACAGTGAGCTAGAGAGAATCAGAGTGGGAATATCAGAGGATTTTCTTTTTATGCCTTTAGTTATGACAAACGATACTGCCTTTATCACATGATTATTGGAAATTCTTGCTTGGAGTTTGAATTCTAGCAGGTTATTATATCTGTGTAGCACAGTGTAGCCTGGAGAATGCTGATTTGGAGCTCTGTGTGGTCGTTTTGTGACCCTGTTCCTCCCGGTCATTTTATATCCTTTTGGTTTGCAGTGTATTTTTGCCTCCCTTTTCTAAGGCTGGTTTTTCTCCTTGCATGACCTTTCCTGGGCAGACCCTCTCTACGCCCCTCAGTTGTCCTGTGTTTCTGCTGACCTTCTGCCAAAAAGGAGCTTGATGCCCACTCTATGTCACCCTAGGCAGCTTCAAATCTGTTTATAATGTCCGTGTTGCTTAAAGAGAAAACCTTACGTGGTGCTGTGTTCCGTGTGCTAATTTAATGGGAATTCCCAAGGAAAGTCTTAAAAATTGTTTTGTCATTAAAAGAAATGTATCTGTAGCATTAAGTATATGATAAATACATTATTACTGTTCAGATGTTAGAGGGAAAGAACTAATTTATTACTTTAATTAGTTTGTAGTGTACTTTACATTATTGTAATATGCAATATCGGAATAATGAACTGAAAATAGGTCTGTATGCGTTCTGTTCAGCACGGCAATTTAATAATTCACTCGCAAAAGCTCCTCTAATAATGCGTGAACTGTGAAACGTACTTTAAGTGCTGGTTGTTATTAAAAACTTTCAGAACTTAATGTCGGCAGTGCTCGTACTGCTAAAATGTAAGCTTCTTTGTGAAACACGTAATAGGGGATCCAGTTTTCAATATTAGTTTAACTACTAGGGTTTTTTTTTAATGTTTAGACAGAACATTTACTGTTGACACAGTAGACTCTACCCTTCTGATTTTGCACTTGTAGGAATGAAAGAATGCAATCAAGAGCACATTAATTTTTTTGTGCATTCCGTGGTCCCGGATTACTGCCTTAGTGAGTCAGAATTACCGATCAGGCTTTTTTCTTTTGTTCTTCAGATCTGCACAATACTACCTCTGGAGGAAAAACCTGATGAATACAGTGTGTTTTCTTGAAAAGCTTAAATTGTAGGAATGTTGGAAATTCAGCATCAGGTAGTTACTTTTAAACAGCAAGATATTAAAAGTACGGAAATGCATGTCACAGAGAGTCCTCAGCTGTTGGGCTCCGTTTCGCTGCCTGCCCTTTGTTGTTGTGTGTTTGGCAGCAGTGCCCAGAGGCTCTGGGGTGGGACTGGGTTCCTGCAGAGCCATGTGTTGTACAAGCTCACAGTGAGCTGTAGCTGGCGAGGTAAATAGAGATGCCCGCTGGGTTTCCCAGGAGCTAGTCCACTACAGCCTTTGTTATAGTGAGTTAAGATAGTCTCGCTCCGAATTTTTGAACCTATGACGATATGGACAGGGGACTGGTTTGAGAATCTCCATTCTGGCCCCTGGTACTCCCTTGAGAAGTTCCCCTTTATGGGCAGACTGGCCCACAAAACAAGTGGAGGCTGTGGGACTAGAACTACTCTCCAGCAGAGAGATGTTTTGATGTTTGAATGTGGTTTAAAAAGTGAAACACATTGACATTTGAACCAGCTGTTCAATTCATAATTTTCTGTATTTCTTACATTATAAAACACTTTAATTTAGTGCAGTCTGTTAAGAATATTTTATCCTATATGACTTTAACTATTCATGTGGGGAAGACATGGCATAATGCCAGCCTACTGAATTACATTTTATAAATATTTTGCAAATAGTGCTTTTCTGGTTTTTTAGCAATTCTTCCTTTTTTTTGTTGCAATTATGAATCATTTTTTAAAGGAAGTGGCTGCTCTTTTGCCTTAATGGAGAAGCATGAATTAGGTAAACGTGGGAAGGGCAAGGATAATGTAAACCAACTTCATATGCTGCCTACAGAAAAGAATAAATGGGTATTGTGGGAAAGTATAATACAAAGAAACTTTCCTTCTGTCATTCTTATTACCCCTATTCTTGATTTGCAATGGGCTCATGCATTCAAAAAAACCCTAACTAGATAAAAATGGAAAGCAGATTCTAGCCGCTGAGTAAATAGGTGTGTGTAGCAGTGATTTAGGGCAGTGTAGATAGCATTGTAGAAGGCAGTGGAGATATGCATTGAATTACTGGTATAGCAGTTTTGTCTGGGGAACATCATTGCATGATTTAATGTTCTGTCAGCTGAGTGAAGTTATATATTTGATGCTTGGTCATGCTCACTTGTTTGTAGGAAACCTGTTGAAAATCTAGATTGTGCCGCAATATTGATTTCTGACTTCAATCAAGAGACTTGAACAGAAAAGCTGTGTGACAATAACTAGGGAAGGTGATGATGGCCTGCCATTAAATTGGTGTGTAACATATGCCATGCAAAAAACTGCTCATCAAAATGAATGAATAAGGAGGCTTGAGATGATTTTAGACTAGATTAGTACCTGCAACTGCTTACTGCTTTATTGTTGCTTGCTTTCCTTCCATCAGTTGTCATCTTGACAGACACTCTGCTGGGCCAAAATTATTCTCAACATCCATTTCCAGTCAGTAGTTCCCCTGAAGTATCAGCTAACTGCAACTTTTATTGAGACCAATTTAATGGACCCACCATGCTCTAACTAGTGGCTGCAATCAAACAGCTAAGATCGATCCTTGGTTAATAGGTAAATTAATATCTAAAGATGACCAGTAAAGGATGAAGAGCGTTCTCAGACTTGGAGGAAACTGATGCTGTAACATGTCATGAGCCCACTTACATTGGCATATATCATGTCATTGAAGAGAGCTTGAAAGTAGTGTGAAGCAGGATGTAGGAAGACAAGCTAAAAAACAATTTTTGTTACATAGTTTGACTGTTACCTCACTTCAGAAAATCTCAGCAATGTTATTACAGAAGATAAAGTTTCTTCAAAAGCTTCTGCAGTTTATTCTAGTGCCGATCTGATTAGACTTTTAGCAGATTTCATTCATTTCTTGTTGTTAGATTTGAAAGCTTCATGTATATGTGTTTGCTTCAGTCTGTTTCAAAAGCGAGGTAGAAATGATTGCGTGTTATTCCACACTCATTTTCAAAACGTTCCTTTTTAAGTTTATTAGTGTAGCAAGTGAGGGTAACAAACAACTTAGCATTTCATTTTAAATTCATGAACTGCTAAAATAAATGAGCAGACTGTAGTTTTTATTAAAACATGAAAGCACACCAGTTAATGCTTACTTTTAAAGATAAACTCAGACTACAGGAGACAAAAGTAACTGTTGGTTAGTCTGTACACATGACATTTGCTACAGGCAGAGTGTCTCTTTAACAAGCTATCTTTAAATCTCTTCATAAAGACAGAGCTTAATTTTACGACCACTGCAAAATTTCATGTTATTTTCATGTTATTACTTTGCCTGCGCTACATGAAAAGTCACGGCAGCATTCGATCTATTGGGACGCTTTGCAAAGCACACTGTTATTTAAGCAAAGCAGCAGGACAGGCATGGCATCACTCAGAGATGCAGCTCTCCGAGAGCCTTGGGCCACAGGGAGTGCTGGGTTTCTGAACAAAAATCTTTCAGAATCACAGAGCAGAAGAATTAATAGAGTCTGTGCACACAGCTAGTGAAATGTGGTAAAGGTGGGAAAAAAGAAAAAGTATTTTAATATCTTAGTATTAAAGTACTCACTGTAGTATAGCAAACCTGATGAAAACTGGCTGAAATGCCTGCTCCTTTGAGGAATACCCAGTTCTGTTGACTTGACAAATCCATTGCAAAAAGAGCTGGCGAGCCACAAAAAGGAGACATGGTTAATCCTGTTGAAGCCAGCGTGAAACACAGGGACATGCAGCTGCTCTTGGCAACCCTGAGGTGAACTGGGGATCCGCACTGGCTGAGAGCGCTGTACTCGAGAACACTGGAAACAAGTCACTGCCCGTTACCAGTGACTGAGGACACGCTGTCTTGTTTAACCAATAGAGTGTGTCAGGAATACGTCGAGACTGGATTTGTGGCACGCTGAGCTGAATGTTCCATCCTGTCCCTGACATCCTTTGTTGGAAGCGTGGCAGCGCGGTAACGAGAGGTGCCCCAGAGCTGGTCCTGCCGCGCTCCTGCCTGCACCTAACCAGTGGTGTCTCTCCTCCCACAGAAAAGAGGGATGTCGGGTATACGGAACCATTATAGGCACCAGTCACAACCCTTGGACAGGGGACAGGGGTCATACACTAATTTTGCACAGTTCAAAAGCTGACAAAAGAGGGTCTCCGTTGCTGGAGCCCGTTGATTTCCAGAGGGTCCTGGCTGGAAGCAAAGGGCTGTTACAGAAATGCCTGAGTTGAAGGTGTTTTGTCTGTTAGTGTTGGTGTCCATTTGTTCATAGGTTTCTTAAGAAATTTACATGTTAGTGAAAGTCTAAGCACTGAAGGGGAATTTAAGATCTGCTGTTACTGAGATGGTTTTGGCAATTTTGCCTAAAATCTTTTCGTATGTAATTTTGTTGCATGTTATGCCAGTCGGCTGTGAATTGCGTGTTAACATGCGGAAAGGTGGTGCTTACTAAATGATTACGTATTGCTGATAAGATTATAAATCTTTGTTTGTAAATGGATTACATGGGTTGCCTTCCAGTCCCAGTTTGGCAGGATGACGGTGTTACGCAAGGCTGCTGCAGGACTGTCTTTTCAACCGTTTCTTCCAGGTTCTACAGTGGAAGGCAGAGGCTGCAAAACTAGAAGCTGCTGTAGCTGCCAGAAGAAAAGACAAGACAGATGAGAAGGAAAGGCTACAGAAAGAAAAGGAAATGATTCGTAGAGCTCAGGAGAAGGAGAAAGTATGAGAAACTTTTATATGTTTTTGCATATGTTAATGTGTACAATTGCCTTTAAAATCTTTAACTCATCTCACTACCTTGTATTCTTTTAAAAAATTATTAGTATAGGGATGAGCAATGGTTAGCTGAGTCTTGCTACTGTCTGTTGCTGTAAAGCTGCCTGCTCTTACACACCAGTTATGTTACTTCATTACGTTTCTAAAAAAAAAAAAGCATACACAAAGTGTACGTGACTATCTCTGTGTCTCAAAAAATCAGTGCAGAGGCACTGCTGGATTTCTGACTCTTACAGATTTGTGCTTTTTAGCAATGTGGCAGACTCTGAAAGCTTCCAATGCTGCAGTTAAGTGTGCTGCAATGCAGCAGGCGAACCTTGCAGTACATTGTCTGCACGACAGCGCGCTGCACTGGGCAGCACGAGGACCTGAGAAGTGGGCCTGAAGCACAACAGGGAGAGTCACCACTTCAGGACACCAGAAATCTGTTACACTATTCCAAGTACTAAAGTGGTGACCACTTGGGAAATGGCTTTGGTCCATAAGGCTAAACTGCAACTTAACAGAAAATCAGAAATCCGCTGTGGTGAATGTAATGCTTTTATAAAATCGTGCTGTGTCGTATACGTATTTGTGTTGACCTTTTTATTTAAATGATATGGAAAAAAATCCAGGAGGTTGTTTTCTTAGTATTTCACCTCTTTTTCTCATTATGTTTACGCTGAAATCTGTTGTGGTTAGAGTCCAACTCACCTGTGGCATATTTGCTAAGACTGCATACTTATTTCTGGAAAAAATAAGTCAGAAAATGTCATAGGTTCTTATTGCTTTGTCTTTCAAATGCTTATGAGTAAATAGTCTCTTTTACGGGACTGCTCGTGCTAACATGTTTGCAAGAAGAGCCACTAGAAGCTGTGCCAGCACATGAGCCAGCAGTGTGCCTAAGTGGCCAAGAAGGCCAACAGCATCCTGGCTTGTATCAGGAATAGTGTGGCCAGCAGGACTGGGGCAGTGATCATCCCCTGTACTTGGCACTGGTGAGGCTGCACCTGGAATACTGTGTTCAGCTTTGGGCCCCCCACTACAGACAGACGTGGAGATGCTGGAGCGTGTCCAGAGAAGGGCAACGAAGCCGGTGAAGGGTCTGGAGCACAAGTCTTACGAGGAGCAGCTGAGGGAGCTGGGGGTGTTCAGCCTGGAGAAAAGGAGCCTCAGGGGAGCCCTTATTGTGCTCTACAAGTCCCTGAAAGGAGGTTGTAGTGAGGTGGGTGTTGGTCTCTTCTCCCAAGTAACAAGCGATAGGACAAGAGGAAATGGCCTCAAGTTGCACCAGGGGAGATTTGGATTGGATATTAGGAAAAATTTCTTCACTGAGAGGGTTGTCAGGCATTGGAACAGGCTGCCCAGGGAAGTGGTGGAGTCACCATCCCTGGAGGTATTGAAAAGACGTGTAGATGTGGTGCTGAGGGACATGGTTCTGTGGTGGAATTGGCAGTGTTAGGTTAACTGTTGGACTTGATGATCTTAAGGGTCTTTTCCAATCTAAATGATTCTATGATCTGTAACGTATGTCTTGACAAGGTGGGAATTACAAGCTTGCTGCAAATTCCACCAGTTGTCTTTGAAGAATTGTCCTGGTTTTAGGAACGGAATCCTGTAGAATTTATTCAAATGAAGAATTCAGAGTTTCATTTGAGCAATATTTACTTTAAATCCCAATTACACGTTTTGCATCCAAAAACCCTCATCTCTCCAGAAAAGCTTCCCTGCTCAGGTTTCACTGTCTTGTTTAAGGCCTTTCTTTCTCACTCAGCTTTGGAAAAGCTTCATACTTAGGTGAGGACCACTCGTACGCTTCTTCCTGTTCCTCACTGGGCTCTGCACCTCAGCCAGAATGAACTGGGCCAGTTCATCTCGCCATCATCAAAATGGATCCCGCTGTTTGAGCTGACCTAGAACATTTTAACTCAAGGAACGTTCACTTGAGATTTTGATGGCAGAGTAGGAAAGCACGGAGCAAATGAAAGTGATGGTCTGTAGTTTAAAATTATATTCAAATGTGTGTCCACAGTCTGATTTTACTATTTCTGTTGTGGAGGCTCCACACTCTTATTATTCTAGTAAATATTTTGTTAGTCCATACTGTCAACAAAACATAAATTTTATTCTAAATAGATCAAAATTGGATCTTCTTTAACTTAGTGCTTTTCTTACTTTATTTGTTCTCACTACCTTGGCTTGTGAACGATGGTTATTTTGTTTACTGTGTTTGTTCAAACTCTAGGTGAGAAAGTACTGGGCTGAGAAACAGCTCAAGCAGAAAGAACAGGAAGAGAAAGATCTGCAGCGTCTGGAGGAATTAAGAAAATTAATGGCTGAACAAGCAGTTAAAGATAAAGAAAGGTAAAAGAACATAAATGTGAATACGTATAGTTTCAATAGGAACTTCTTATAATCTGATTTGCTTTGATCTTCCAACTTTCTAAATTAGAATAAATTAGGTAACTTTTTTTCTTCCTGTTTGGCAGTTACCCTAGTCTATACCCCAAGGTTTCATCATGATTGTATCCTGAATGCAATTTATTGTTAGTTTGATGTAATTCATATCCATCAAAGTTTTGGACCTTTGTAAGTGCTGTTGTAATCATGATAGGGTATACACCTTAAAACCAGCTCCCTTCGTGACTCTTCAATTGTAGCTGAGTAATATGACCTTTCTGTATTCCCACTTGGCAAAATTATTTATAATCAGGTTTGGTTTGTTTGAGAGGCAAGGGAGAGGAGTGCATTAAGCACTTAACAACCTCAAATGTATTTATTGTTCTTTTAGAGTGTCTTAAACTGTGCATCTAGTTGTAGATGCTCTTCACCTGTTTGATGTAATTTAGGACTTCAGCCTGTTAACGTTTGAGTCCTTGACAGGTCTTTGTTGTAGAACATGGCCTTTAATGACCTGTTGAAGAAATACTTGATTTCATAGAGCAACTCCTCTGTCACAGAGAAGCATAAAAACCCCTGTATGTAGTCTGGTTAGAATTGCTCTCAAATCACAGGCTTACTTTTTTCACTTAGAGGGAGCCACCAAATCGCATGGACCAGAAAGGTAATTAAAATAGGGTTAAAGTATCATTGACATTAGGACATTAAACGTGGTCTTAAACATTGTGTGGGAGACACTGCTTCGACCTTATTTTGTTACAATACCTTGCTGATAGCTAAATTTAAAGGTCTGTATTCTTATGCTACAAATATATCTATACCTCTCCTCAAACATAGCTGCGATGATTTTAGCTCATACCAAAGACACACACATACTTGAATTACTGAGTCTTCAGTAAATCAGTGATCAGGAAAAATGACTTTTCTTTAAACCTCTGTGCTGCACTATGCCATACAGTTGGGGAATGTTCTTTTCTTATGCTAATAATTGTTTCAGAATAAAATATAAGGAAATGGCACCGTTGATTGAGGAATGCAGGGAGGAAATAATCATACCTTCGAGCTGTTATGAATCAAAAGTTGCTAAATGCTTAGCATTGTGTTTCCCAGAATTGGCATACTGTACAAAATAAAACAGTTTAAAGAAAAATGCTTAAATCACTTAATGCTTTTCATCTTCAAAGCCTTCAGAAAGATTAATGAAAGAAGGGCAGAGAGACGTTGCTGTTCTTAGGTACTGTAGTGCTACAAGTACGGTATAAGGCGTTTTAAAATATGTGTTGTGCTGAACTGAGGTGGGCACTCTGGCATAACGACTTCACCGTGCAGAACTGCAGTCCTGTAGAAATTAGTGGTATTCTTACATATTTCACCTGTTGCAGCATTTAATTGGTTTTGAGACTTTGCAGAACTGATCATGAAAGATGCCACAGGCGAGAACCACAGCTCTGATCTGACAGGCTTTCAGGCTTTTCTGGGAAAAGGAACAATTTTTCTATCATGAGCTGATTGACTATTCCAAGTACAAGATATGGCCTGGATAGCGCATAGAGTTTCTAATAGGTACAATAAGATATTAAAAAATGATCTGCTGTTATCCTGGATTGCTTTTAAAATTAATTTAATCAGGTTTATAAAAAATAAAATTATCATCACAGAGTCACTGTGGTGCTTTATTTATTCAGGTCTCACCTGTAATTGCAAGATGCTGAATAGCCAGAGCTATGACCAGATCAAAGAAAAGGATTAAAGGCACCTGAAACTAGATGTAGAATTTCAAGTGACTGAGTCCAAATTTGCTTTCTGCAGCTCCTCTGCTTAGTGAGTATCTGACAGTGGAGACATGTAACTGATTGGACATTTCATTCTTTGGCCTGGAGGTTCCTGGGTAGCTGCAGCTTTATGCTGCATGTGTGTCTTGGAACTCTTGCCTTCAGAGCAGCTGGCTGCCCAGCACTTGCCTAAACGCTGATGCGTTTAAGTTTATGTAAGTCCCCACAGATGTTGGTCAAGTAAAAGATGGCAAGAATAGTGAGTTCAACACAAAATCCTAATAAGCAATGCTGCCTGCTTTCAGAAACATGGGAGAGCGGAAGAGGATTGTGCTGTGATTTCTGCTCCAAGCACAATATCTATTCTGTAGTTGTTTTTTTTTTTGCCCAAGGGTCGTTTCATACAAAATTTGTAGAACAGTTTTTAAAAAAAAAATCACAGGGGCTGGGGTAAGAATGTCAGTCTGCCCAGATCTCGTAAATGCCCAGGCAAGTAGGCAAAAATCATACTCCCTTTTTGCTTGCTTCTACTTCCATTCATTTTGTATTGTTTGCTGATAGTAGTCCAGCTGTTAAACAGGGATGGACGTGCCCTGCCTACACTATTGCGTATTCTCGCTGGTTGTGCTGCTTGAGGATAGCGCAGAAAACGCAGGCTTGAACTCCTTCAGGCTAAGAACCCGAGACTAAAACTGTCTGGACGAGAACTGAGTAGTGATGTTTATCATAAAGGGTTTGGGCTGGCCATGTTTAAAAAGGAAAGCAGAGAGTTCTCATCCTTTTTTAATAAAAATTAAAATTTTAGTGAATGACAGCTCCAGAGAGAAATGCTCCAGAAACATAGCAGATACTGGATAAATGGTGTGCGTTCTCCTTACTGGCATTCAGCAAGACTTAACCCCATTACGCTGGGGTAGCTGGTTGGACTATTTTGGGGGTAAGAAATTACTGATGGCCAGATGCATTTGCATGTGGCCCATTGGAAGCAGAGATGTAAGCATGGATGTACATCTGCAGTCAGTCCTTTATATGTGCACGCACTCAGGATCACACACTCAGCTGTTCTAAATGGCTGAAGTTAGGTCTCCATGCTTCTGTCTTTAAGACATTGAATTCTAAGCTCTCTTTTAACGTGGCATCAAGAACTACTAACTGCATTTAAGTCTTGTGCTTCAAGAATTAGCATCCAAAAGGGCAGGTGTTTGTCTGTTGCTAACACTCCACTTCTCCCTTCTTTGCTTTATGCAGTGAATTTCAGTCAGGTCCTCCATCGAGTCCCTTAGGTATGGAATGGTTTGAATATACATAAAATATTCTAAAAGAGTGCATTTCCCCTCCCCCCCCAAAGCAATAGATTTGCGTTGATGTGGCAGGGTCAGAATTAAATTGGCATGAAATTATGTGAATGTTTTCACTCACGACCTATAAGAAATAGATTGGCACAGTCCTCCAGCGAGGCAGTGAGTGGGAAATGTTTCCAACTGCTGGAACCCCGCGCCTGCCCTGCTGCCAGCCCTGGCCCTCACTTGAAAGGGGTGGCAGGGTCGGGAGGAGAGCATTGCTCTTCGCAAGAGCTGTGTCCCGCTGTCAGACACAGCGACGGCAGCTGTTTGCTGTGCGGCTCTGCGTCACCTGCCGGAGGTGAAGGTGCTCATGGATCACATCTCTCCCTTCCCTCGTGCTCTTTGCGGCAGCTCCTTGCTGGGAAGGCGTGTGGATAGCCTTTCCTCCCTCCCCTCTGGCCCCACCAGTGTTTCCCCTTCCTGAAGCACAGCTCTCCCGCTCCCCCCAGTCGGAGCCCCACGTCGAAGGGACGCAGGACAGAAGGAACCCAGAACAACTGTGCACAAACGATCGGGTGGTGAAGCCCTTCATAAAGCTGTGCGACAGAGAGGGCTGTTGGTGGAATCGGTGCTGGCAGCTGCTTTGCTTCCAGCTGCGCGGCTCCGAGTAACGGCGCAGTTAGAGCAGGGGGCTGGGGGTGGCTGTGCACCCCCGCGGAGCCCCCGTGCCGGGACTGCAGGTGCAGCATCAGTCG